GCAGTAAGGTGTTACCTTCATGCAACCAGCAGCGATGCTGCCTTCCGCCGAGGAGTGACGGATTAGAAAACATTTGCCGCAAAGCCTGCACACTCCGATCGTTCAAAAGTTGACCGTGACCGCCGGGTAACTATCCCATACAGTCGGTCAACCAGTAGATCGAGAAGGTGTAGTAACAGTGTTTTTCTAAGCCGTAGCAGCACGTGAGTGCGAGCGATAAAGCGTGATCCGTGCGGAATTCCGCCTAACAGAAGGCTTTTGCCGCAGCCAACAGCTGCGCTTCGTTTCAGCTGATTCGATCAACCGGCCAGAGGAAGACAGGCATCAGGGAAACCTTTCGCAAAACTGTTATCTTGGGAACAGTTCCACTGGTCTCCAACACAACCACCTATGGCGAAATCCAACGAGTTTCAATGGGACACAAAGACCAACCCGCCATCATCAACATAAATTCATTGTGAGGTTTCATTCTTCCAACGCGATAGGACATCCTGTTTGGATCGTCTTCACCCCTACCCCTATCTGGATTTCTCCCTGCCGAGGGTGCGTCGGCCGTATGTTCACCTTGAGACAAGTTGTTGAACAGCCCACGTTGACTGTGTTTCTGGATGTGAAAGCCGCTTTTGACTCTGTCGATCTTCAGCCTGTTTGGCGGTATCTGGCAGTCGAAGCTGTCCCCTCCAAGTTTATATCCTCTGTGTGGTCACTGTATGTGAACTCCTGTGGAGGAGTATGAGTACACAGCAATCTATCCCCTTAGGCCACCATATCCAGTGGTGCAAGGTAAAGCTGGCCACAGCGCACGTTGTGGCTTTCGGTCTACGCTTGCGAGGTGTAAAGTGATGGTGCAAGATGGAGTATGGTCAAAGCTAAATGTAATGCTTGCAGGCCAGCTAATCATCTTGGTAGATAAATTTGGTTACCTTGGTAGTTGTGTTCATTCCAGCAGACATGTTCTAGACGTGATTACTTTTCAAATATGGTAGGTTAGGTCATCTTCCAAACTCTGAAACCTGTGGTGCCGGTGTGACATCATTTTGTTTGCCACTGCCGCTCTTTGGTTAAGAAAGATGGGCCCAACGCTCAAAGGATGTACGAAATTATTTGACTATATGTGTCTGTAAAGCATTTCCCGAGTGTGCTGTCAGCAATGCTGAGGCACGCCAGATGTTGGGAAGGAGGAACCCTCTACCGACAGTTTAGCTACCAAAGCTCCATAGGTTACGCCTGTTAGGATATGCACTTTGCATGGCAGGGGACCGTCTGCCTCGTGGAGCTTTTCTTGTCCAACCTTGTGCTGATCGAAAGTGACTGTCAGGTGAACAGTGTATGATCTGGCACCGAACATTGAAGACGCAGACCAGTAAACTCAGTCGAATGTACACCTTCCGTGTCCTTGAATTTGGACCCTTGAACTCAACTCACCAATGGTTGATGACACTGACAGACATGGCTCAATCATTCCGAGTGCACGCAGGCATTTGAATCGTTTTGTCTGATAGGTCATATTATCCAGAAACATGCTATATGGTTTCGAAATGCAGGCTTGCGTTTGGGCCGTAGATGCATGGACCACATATGTGCCTTACAACGACTTCTCGAACCCCGCCAACAGTTGTTATCTGTTTACATATCAAAGCAGCCTCTGACTCAATCGGTCGCACTGCTTTCAGGCGATGTCTGCTCTTTGGAGATGTTCCAAGCGTTTTCGTCATACTCACCTTTATCGTTTGCAGCAGCGCACTGTTAATATGCACTGGCGCCATGTGTGTAGTGGCTTCCATATTTCATCAAGCCTCTCCAGTTATCGTATTCCAACACCCGTTCGCGCTTAGAACCCTATGGAGAGTGTTCTCCAGAGTTCACAAACACCAGTGTTCATCAAGCTTGACCTTTATCAACATTTCTTTTTAGCCTCGTAATCGAATTGGTTATTGTAGAATCGTTCGCTAGGTTTTTTATTTCCGAACTGAGGCCTCTCTCCTGGAAAAACCCTAAACGCTGGCAGTATGTGGGCGATATTGCATCAGTTGGTTCATATTCGATCCAGATACAAAATACATCAAATAATCTAAATGGTGTCGTGTGTTTAAATAATCTGATGGTGCCCGTGTGTTTAGTATGCTCTTTGCATCTTCAAAGTTTAGAGTTTTATTACATGGTTGGGTGAGCAAACCACCAAATCTGGATACGGCGTGAAAAGTACAGATTTACTTATTCGGGACGGCATTGTAAACGAAACGAATGCTACCGTCGCTGCAGGCCGTTCTACTTTCCCCTATTTAAGCACCTCTGTAGTCTTCGTTCCATTGGATTTTTGCTGAAAAGCAGATCGTACAATGCGCAGAGGCGTCTAGTGCTAATTGGGGTTGTGAAGCCTAACCGGTGTGTGCTGAACACAAGGGGAGATAGCCTGTTTCAGACCATCGGCGTCTCTGAAACATTTGACATGTATAATGGGAACATGATATTAGCAATTCTGGAGCGAAACTAGTCGGTTTGGCAAATAATCAGCTTTTTGTCCGATTGACTATTTGATTGACTACTCTAACTACACTGTCCCGGCCATTCTGAGTGATCGATTGCCTCGCCGTGCCGCAGCGAAGATTCTGATTTAAATACACCACGTGGTGGACATTGCATGGCTGGAGGAGGAGTATGAAAAGGTAACTTCTGCGAGTTTGGGATATCATATCTTGACGGAATTCTCGTAGTAACCTCTCTCCTCAATCACCAATCAAATCAGACGTAGGGCAGGGTATACAATACCTACAACTGTGGGATGATGGTTTGTCGCTTGCCCAAAATCAGTTAGCTGTGACTTTTCCGTTGGTTTTGCTCTACCACATTTGCGTGGTTCTCTTCTCATGAACCCCGTTCCCAGCTTTATACGCAAAGTAGTCTTACGGTGCGATTTTGAGTTGAGATAACCACTGTCCCCACCAGCAGTAGTTTCAGCTCCCTTTCACTCCCACAAGATTTTTCCATTCATTTATTTTCCATCATTTCTTCATCTTCCCTGTAACCATGCTCGGAACAGCGTGTCTACCGAACCTTTAGTCACATGTTCTGGTAGCTTGGCTTAGTTCGGTAACGGGTCTAGTTAACCCGTTTATTTAATGGTAGTATTTAATAATAATGATTAATAATTAATTAATAACGATAATTTAATAATGGTAGTCGCTATATGCCCGAATATTTGACTCCAGTTCATGTTTGACTTGACATAGCAGTGATCATGAATACTCGACTACCTGCCTTGGAATAGCTTTTGACAGTCGCAAATGGCTCGCTTGCTCTTGGCCCAAAAAAACCATATTTTGACCCTTCTCAGTATGCCCTCATCTGGCTTAAACGCACGGAACAGATTGGAACGGTACATGTAAATTCCACTCCCTCAACCAACTGATTTTCGATGGTCGGTTCGCGCCTGTTGACGGCTCACGTAACAGTCATTGTTTGGATGAGGCGTTTTTCCAGAACTCAGTGTAAGCTTGTGAACGTGGATGATAATGGACTTCGTTTTTTGCTCGCATTCTGTTTGCCATCTCGATTAGTAGTTTCAACTGTGCTCGTAAAACTCTAAAGGTGCTTAACGCCTCGTTCTCACATTGGTTACCATCTGAAGTTTTTTATACCAGTGGTTTTTGATTGACGGAAACGCAGTTGCCGTCTCGCTCCCTTCGATCTACCTTCCAGTTAGATCAACACACTGATCGCAATCAGGTGCGAATGTTGACATGCAGACATGCTTACCTGCACGATGTAAATGGTCACAGTGACCGACATTTTCACTCAAGGGGAAGAGGCGTGCACGCTCTCTCACACTGCTTAAAAGGGGAAGCACTTTTCAGCTGCATGTTGGCCTAACTGAACCCTGAGGCTACATTTTGCTGCATACTCTGCCAAAGAAGACACCTGGGATCAGAGGTTATTTAGAGCTTCACCGTAATGTCACCTCCTCTTTCAGTTGCGTAATTTTACGAACTGAGTTGTTGCGTCGTTATCATAGTTGTCATCTCAACGCGAAAGCAGCAGAAAAACTGTGAAAGCCGAAATCAACATCGTAATACTGATATGCGTACTCATGTTGCAACGATGCTTTGCGCGATGAACACGGAGGCTTGGTTTATTGCAACATTTTTTCATGTTGTACTCGTTGGCATCCTGATTTCTCTGAAGTGGAAATGGAAATTCATTTAGCAAGAAGTTTTTCACACAGTTCATTTGTTTCGGCTGAATGTCAAACCACGCGCGTCACGGTGTGTGAACTAACCAGTTCATTGTGCCTAAGTAACTACACGAATTCAGTCAGCCTTATCGATGTCGACCACCCTCAGCTGGGACAGATGTTTCAAGTTCGAGTTTACAGCCATGATTGTCGTGTCCTATTTACTCTCACTTTACCCCGATTGGTGCCCATGTCAGATGATCGAGTCTCTTAGTTAAGATATTCGCCTTCAACCAGCTCACCACCACTGTTGGTTTCACTGGATATCTTTTGGTGCTTTCATCTTTCCTTTTCATCGAAAAAATCGGAGGTAACAGGGATTTGTGAAAGTTGCCCCCACTTTATACCCAGTGGTTATGGTGTTTGTTTTTCGTTTCGTGTACATTCTGATCGTCTCACAATGCTGCCTCCGCAGCCAACCTACGGAAGCGAACGACCGCATAGAACCGATAGTACGGTTCACGTTGTCAACTTTTCTTCTGGGTTAATTAACATCCCAGTGTTCCGTCCTCACACCTTAGAGTGACCAGACAGTGTCCTAGAGGATCTATCTGTTTCGTCACTATCTGTAAATGGGTTTACCAAATGGAGTGAAATCCGGTGTGGTAAAAGGAATTAATCTATAAAAGTCATGTATTTTCGAGCGATTATTTTACACGTCTATTATGAACTGACATAACCCAACTGTTTGTTCTCAACCGGATGCGTTGCGCTACAATATCACCACCTTGTTCTGGTTCGGATTTTGTACATTGAACTTTTTCAGCAGGGTTTAGATCGACGACAGTCACAGGTGACGGTGAGTAACAACAATGCCGCTTCAACTTCTGTGACTTCAACTTCCACGCCTGGAGGTGGGCTGTTCAGTTTGGTCGACACGTCTTTGTCTGCTGCACCAGCACACGTTCCTGACCCATGGTCTTCTCCACTTGGGGCCCTAGAGTCCTCCACGTCTAGCGCAGTTCCAACCACAACTCCCACTGTTACGTCCTCAGCACTGCCCGTTCAACAGAGCCTCCCTCCGTTCTCGAGTGACCCTTCCGCTACCGTGAGCAGCTCTATACCGATCGAAGATCCATGGAGCAGCACCGGTACGTTTATTCTTTCTGCTGTAATAAAGTATGCCTTTGTCGCTCGGCTTCTTCTAGCAAAACTAGATCTGTGTCAGCATAACTCGTTTCAGTGTTCTCTCGTTTCTTCCCACTCTTATTTGTCCACTTGCACTCCAATTTCTAACAAACTAACTTTTTTAATCATCCTTCCTCCTCCGTCACATACTTATTTCGAACCCCCTGTTATGTGGCTCTTGGTGCGTTTGGCAACTTTCTGAGACTGGTTATGCCATCGATTGCGATCGGTTGTATGAATTTGTATGCCCTCCCTAGTCGGTAGTCCCGGAAAGCCACTTAAAGATTACAATATCTGGAAAAGTCGAAACATTTGTTAAGACGTCGCTGGTATTGGCATTTCGCCCAATTCGTTTCAGTTCTTCTTACGCGTGGTGAGTACATATTTTTTTGTATTTTGAGTGAAAAGCGATTGATCGAATCAGTTACACGGATAGACGACTGAGGGGACACATGAGGCATGACATCAAGTCAACCCCAATTTTGAGCGAAGTGAACAGTCAGAGGGCATCAAAGTTCTACTTTGGGGCGTCTCATGGGTCACATTTGTGCGCTAGAATGATACTTAGAGGGGTCTGAATGACCTGTGACCACACATGGGACTTCCTACGAGGCAGTAAGTGGTTTGAAGGATCGCCAAAATTTGATTCTGGATATAGCATTCCATCACGAGGGCGTGGGCAGTTCCGCCTTAGACGATTAATGATTTTGGACACTATCCGAGGGCCAACTCAGTATGCAATTTATCTCAATTGGTTATCAAAAGTGCATATATTAGTATTCCGCTTCAAGCTTGTTGAATACTTGAGCTCTTTTAGCCTGTCTGGGCCAGGTCTTTTGTTGCTCAGTTCTGTGTCTTGTGAATGTTTGAGCCAGAGAAAATTAGCTTCGCTCACTTTTTGCTATAAATGCATCTTCGAGAATAGCTTGACGTGACCTTTCAGTAGTCATCATGCGATGGACTCAGTCGCGCATGAACCTAGATGCCCCTTAATCTTGGCAACTGATCACATCTAAAAATTAACGGATTCCGTTAGAGCTGTCGAAGTGAGGGCGCCGATTGGAAGCATGTTCAAGGTACACAAGATTCTATGCTTTGAGTGTCCGCTAAGGTGTCACATTCTGGCTCAGGCATTCTCGAATATAGGTGCTCTAGAATGTTGTAAAACTGCCACATGGACGTGTTATCATTATCTGGTAAGCTGTATGAGCCAGAATTTCACCCATTAAAGCTCAAACATTCTCCCTCAAGGAGTGTCCAGATGTGTCTAGGAGTATGCCATCTTCCCCCAAAGAAGAAGAATTTGGGAATTTCTGACCGCACTATCCAGTGCGGCGGAAAACCATCTAGCTTATTGGGAACCAGATGCGGCTCCAAACGCATCTGCCGTACACAGTAACTTCAGGGGTCATACATTTTTATCTTACTTTGTGTGCCCTCAGATAAGATCAGCCTTCTACAGCCAGGTAGGACAAATTCCGGTCAATGCTTCAGAGCTCTCGAGAAAACCGTCCGCCTGTTGTCTTGCAGGCCAGACTAATCAGAGACAGTCACTGGTGCTCTTCAACTAACATCTCTTCTGCTGCTTTATAAGTCAGGATTCGGAGTAAAAGTCCAGGTCGATGTGCCTCAAACAAGCCCTTCTTTGGCCTGGGAACCTGAAAGGTGTCATATGCTCCAACTGCCTTCCATTCACCGACCCGCACACAACCCACTTACTTTTTGCAGCTAAGCCGTACCATTTTGTTGGTCTATTACCGGCGCCGAGTACGACAGAGATAAACTAATGTGGACTGGAAGAGGTCTGGTGAATTTTGAAATGAGAAATCCAGGCATGAACGAGAAGCAACGCCCTGTATGTCTGTTCTGTATTGTATCTATATTCTGACAGACTGGGTAGGAGGCCTGTTGCTGAGACCCCTTTTTCTCTAAAAGGCATACAAGACTGCGGCTAGATCATTCATTTCAAACCGCTTGAGAAGAACACGTAGTTTACCCATCACTCTTTAGACGTGTTAATTTATATACGTCCACTTGGGACATTTATGATATGGGACTTATATGTAATCTCGGTGCCCTGTCGAAATAGATTTTCTGTCTTCGGTCGATCGACTCAGTGGATATCAAAACGACAAACTGTGTCCAATTGTCATATCAGCACATGCTCGGAAGTTAGTTCCTATATGAATTCGCGACGGTGGGTTAAGTCCGTAAGAATAATGTTTGTTATTCTGGCAGGTGTGTGATTCTGAAATTCGACCACTAGGTTTGAGCTAATACGTTTGAAAGGGTGGTGCTCACCGCGCAGTTATATGCTGATCAATGGTTATTCTTAGTCAGCACAAGTTTCCAACACAGGAATTCACATCCTGGCGCTTGGATGCCGCCAATTGCGGATCAGCCGTGGTTCCGTTTGTGCCATTTAATAATCAGCTAACTTCAATGTATAGCTCCCTTCCCAATCCCCCCACTTAACAGTCCAGACAGCGCACCTATTGATCAGCTCCCGCTTCCAATGCGATGGTACCTACCCTACCTCCCGATATCATCGATGGACAAAACTGTGGTAGCTACAACCACTGTACGACAAGTACGCGGTTCGTACAGTTGACAATGATGGTGGTGGTGGTGAATCAGCTACCGGTGAAAACCCTCAAATTAAGATTGTCGTTCCTTCGGGGTTACTTCTCTTGGTTCTAATGCCATCTTGTGGGCGCTAACATCAACTTGCCCTCCTTCCGGACAACTCAGGAGACTCATTTTATCACCTCATAATAATATGAGGCCTCACTAGATTAAAATGTTTTAAAAAATCATGGCCGTTTGGGGGCGGGAGGTTGACCATCCTTATCGTCTTTAGGGCCATCCGCCCAGACACTGATTGGGTTGAAGGGGCATTGGATGTCGGGGCAATCAGCAGCCTCTGGTACCGATAATATCCCACAATCAACTGATTACTATGGTGCGGCATAGATCACTCGAACGCAGCGTGCCTGTACCCATCGCGTTGACTCGACCATGCAACCTATAGAGTTGTCAGGATAGTTCGTAAAAACTATAACCATACCAAACCTACGTACTGGAGGTGCAAGAAGATCAGGCAACTGAACATGTTCACATGTGTGTTAGCAGTAAACCGATTGTGGTGACCCTAAATCCACCCCCATTACTGGTACATTGGCTTTCAAACGATGCCTCATTGTTGGATAGTATTGTTCAGTAAAAATAATCTTAGTGTTGGTAGGTGTCAGTCAGTGAATGCCAAAATAATTAACATGGTTGTCTTCTTTTTTGTGCCCGCGCGTGTAGGCGACAATGAACAGCGTCATTCGCTCCATTTCTCATTGCTTTTTGTTCATCCTTCTTTGACTGTTCTGATAACTTATCCTGGCCCTTACTTATCAAGGTTCCCGCGACGGAAGCACCCGGGACGGTTGTTTTTTTCCGGGCACACAGACACTTCACCCGTGTCCAAACTCTCGTTCATGAATTCCGAATCCGCTTTATCCTAGAATGCCGCTGTTATGTCTGGGCTGAGGCTCTTTCTGCTTACTTATACGATTTCGCTGACTGGTAATCCACAAAAGCTTTGTTCTACCGTCAGTTTGGGGCTTGCTTGTTTTTTCCCTTGACCGTATCTTTTATCTAGTTGATGAGTCTGTGTTCATACAGCCACCCACATCATATTTTACTACACATACAACAGTTCTTCTTTTTTTCTCGAAGGTTATCTCGTCTTTGGGGCTCTGGCGTCCTTTATCTTTCTTGACTTACGTAACCTCCTACTGTTCAAAAGCCGAGATCACGTCCTTCTCAGTCCATCCTAAGGTTTGTGTTTCATCACTATTTACAGAGGTTTTCTGACCATTGGTCCTCCCTCGGTAATCCACATTCATTTGATAAGGTAAGAATCGTGCCGGGACCGGAAGAGGACTATAAAAATGTGGCTGTGAATCCAATGACACCCCACATTAATTCTTTTGGCGCTTCACAGTCCAATGCCAGTTATGATGAAATGCTTATCATGAGCGTAGTCAAATCTCACTGGGTATTAGGTGGTTGGCTCAGATAATTGTCACAGTCTCGTGAATGCATGTCACAGTCTCGTCACCATCGTCCTTTACTTCTGAATGTTCTCCGATGGAATTAAGTTGTTCTCGATTAGCCTAATCAGTTAGATATCATCCTCCTCTTTAGCACATGTGGCTTTTGAACCTTTTTAGCTCCCAATACACAGCCTCCCCAGTCTAACTCTGCCTGGTCGGTCGAAATCCCTGCGTCATCAACTGCCATTCCAACGGTCAGTGCGGATCCGTTCGACTTCCTTGGTAACCATAAGCCAGTTGCGAGCACATCCACAAATGGCGTTCACCCCCCGTCGGGCGTTGACAATAGCTTGAAGGAAAACGAGGCACGACGTCGCACTCCAGCCGATTTCTTAGGTGAACACCAAGGTTTAGTAGATCTAGAGAAGCTTATTGAGGTCAACCCAAGTGAGTATAAGCTAATCCTCAATTCCTTTATTTGTGATTGTTGTTTGATGTCCGCCCCGACGTTTGTCTGTCTGTTTTCTGGTTGTCTTATAGCCCGTTTGTGTCCCTCTCTGTTTGATGCTTATCAGGCCAGATGGCTCAGTGGTCAGAAGGCGAATTTACTGACCGGAAGTCCGTAGTTCGAACCCGACCTCTGCCTCTGGATTTCCCCTGTCTAGGCTCGGGCAACCTGGCAGTATACCAGCCCACGTGCTTCTGGTGGCATGGCAGTTAGACACTTAAAGGGTGCTACAGCTGAGGGGTTTTTTCCAACAGCCTTTTGTACGCTTGACCTAAGACATTTTAACCTAGTTTTTTACCGCGCGTTAACTAGACGAAATACGGAGTCAGAAACGAGACCAATGTGGTTTCGAATATATTTGCTACGCCTCGCTGTTTGCCCCCTCCTCCCGGGTTTGGCAAGCTTCACAATCCCAAGTTTACAGGCTTGTTAACTCGCAGACTCCTGACAGGTTTCTTTATGAAGCCGCTCCCATCCTTGCTACGGATGCTACGGGTTGGGTACAAGATCGAATTACCACCAGTCCTTTTTCTTGTGGTTCAAACCTTTGAGATGTTCGGTCTGTACAACCCGTCGGCTTTAGCAGGGCTGAGGAAATCAACAATGTCTTCTATGTGTGTCGGCCGGACTGCTCACGGCTGGAGTCCATTCACAAAAAGTTCCCAGCCATCTTTTTGAATACACCGCAGTCCGTGTTTACTTCAGTTGCTTTAGAACAGGACTTTTGTAGCGTGCGATACCGATACAGATCTTTTGTGCAACTGCGTACACTAGGGGCGCACTGTGCCTCTATGTACCCTGAAGCACATCCGTGGTCTACACTTTGCCCGTCCTTTTGATCGCCCCTAGTAGCTGTTTGGACAAGCGAAATCGATGAAAGTTTGTAGCGTTTGATTCACAGTTTTCAGGCCACCAAGCGCTATATGGTTGTTGACAGTGTGCCCAGCTGTTCTCGGTTTGTGGGTGGATAACACTGTTCACGTTGCTGCGCAAATGAAAGAACACAACTTTTTTCCACCCCACTTAGACAAAATGGTTCCGCAAGTTTTCAGGTCTGCCATATGTCGCGCCCACGATCCAGCAGAGTTGCATTGACAGAATCGCCTATTTAGTTATGTGATATACGTTGCGTATCACGGCTGCTTATGTCTTCTTCAAACACAGGTGCACCAGTCCCCTTTTAGTAATTTCCTACCATTTTTCTTCTCTTCAATCGCACGCTTCATTGGTGTTAATAGCTGTCTGATAAATAGACTTGCTTTCTGTCTTCCCGAGTCCGTTGCTGTTATGTTATTCAGGGACCTCGGTAGTACCCCTCGGGTACTACGTGGCGTCGTGCCATTCACTGACGAGGCCTTACATGTTTATTAATATAACGTTTCGAATTTCTAGACGGCTTTTACTCCTTTAATCACCAAACGTTTTTGTGGATCCTAATATCCCAAGGGATAGGCTCCTGGGTCTATCTGGAAGAGCCTGGAGTGGACACCCTTGTGAATCGCCGCATTTTCTCATCCTGGTTTATTCTACACCTGCTGTCTCATCAAGGTCGAAGTGACTTTTCATAAAGAACATAATGTTAGAATCGACACACCCCGTTGTTTTTTTAGCTTAACGTGGTCAAGCAGATCGCCGCACTAAAAATCAAAGTCATACAAATGTGGCTTCCCCGCGTTCATGCAAATACGATTCATAGCAGAAAACATGTGTCATCTAGCCTAACAGACATCTAGAAGGTCGTTTTTCGACGCGTACTACCCTTCTTGAAATAACATGGGTGTTGACCCAAGTGGTTAGAGCGCGAGCTTACTGACCGGAAGGTTCGTGGTTCGAATCCGACCTCCGCCACTCGACTTCCCTGTCTAGGCTTGGGCAACCTGGCAGTATCCCAGCCCTCGTGCTTCCTTCGGGTGGCATGGCAGCTAGGCACCGGAGGGGTGCTACAGCTGAACGCTTTTTTTTATGGGTGTTGACACCTCGGCATCTTGGACATCTGGCCACTACACTTTTTTTTCGCCAGATAATTTGTTGAGTCGCCGTAGACAAAGAAGTTAGGAGGGATTAATTCTATTTTGTGATTCTAGCGATGGTTTACACTGAACGGCTACCTGTTGACTTTATCTTCAAGTATCCGTAATACTGGCTCTGATGTCTGGGCATTACTGCCCGTTTCACCAAACTATCTAGATTCGGCCTTGTAAGGTCGTGAATTTTCTCGCGACAGTCACAGTTCGTCGCTCTTTTGGCTGACGCGTCGTTGACCAATGCGTAGGATGGAACATAGTGGACTGTTGGCAATCGTATAAACGTACTGTGTGGTTCACCAGATAAGGCCAGTCGATTGCTATCGGCTATATTCTTGTCCATTCCATGGTGCTGCGCGTGTATCCCCTCGAGCTCTCTGCAACGTTAGTTGCCTTCAGTTCACGGTTAGAGTAAGGCTAGCAGCGTTCGCACGACCAGTCTCATCGCCATCAGCGACTGTAGGCAATCTGCTCAGAAAAGGACAATGTCCTATGGGTCGCACGAGACTTCCTTCTGCTTGTCACTCAATTCAGAGTCGCGTGATGTGAACTGTGCGTTTGGAAGATGGTGACACTCTATCCTGTCCATATGCTAACTAATCACACTACTGTTCAGCCACTGGTGGCCGACTGCTATAATTCACTGACCGGCATGTTGTGGGTTCGAATCCCAGTAAATTCGTGGGGTGTGCGCTGCTGATTTCAAACGACTAATGAAACAGCTGTAATTTTTTACCTTCGCCATGAAAAGTGTTTGTAGTAGTCCTTTTTCTATCAAAAAGTCAAATGCCTCACGTTTTTTAAGTTTGTGCTCCCGTTTTCTGCAAACTCAACTTCCTGTCTAACAATCTCACTCAGTATGATGTAATATGTGTGAGTTACTATTAAACTGTATGCTGCATTGACACCTTTAGACCTGCCGCGCTGATGCTCCACTTCTCCAACTCCAATCAACCTTGATTTCAAAAAAAAATCGGAACTGTGGTCATTTGGACCAACTTTACTTCCCAGCGTATTACGTGAACCGCTTGTCCTGATCCACTCATAGAGAGAATGAACTTATTCGGTCCCTGTTCGCATTGTGTCTTACGAAAAATGCTGTTGTAGCCTCCCAGATGGCCTCTCTTTTTAGTGTCCTTTATCGCGTTCAAGTCGCACCAGTGAATTGCATCTTGCTTTTTATTCCCGGTCGCACCTCGAGTTTCGAGCAGCTTGGGCTGGCGCGTAGTTGTAGATCCGTCATTGGAGGAACTATTGACCAAGTTGTCCCTTGAATATTCGATCGCGCTTGTCTATGGCTGTGAAAGCTCTTTCAGGTACTTGTATGACCTCTGTGTGTCAGCGTCCCGCAACAGCTGAATAATGTTATTTTGGCAGTGTACCTATCGAACGAGGCATGGATAACGAGCTTTTGTATGGGCATTTCCGATGTGCATGCTTTTACGATCGCATTTTGAATTTACGGGAGATGGAGCAGCCTCTATACTTTGGTTTTCTGAGGATGTAGTTGCCGTTAGCGTCAGGTCATCCAAAGCTCAGGTTAGGTTGGAGTAACGGTGTGGCATTATTGCGTTGCAATAATTGCACTAATCGTTTAGTTGTAGTAACCTTTCGACACCCGGTTACCAGGCCACCCGGAGGAAGCACAAGGACTGAGGTATTGCCATATTAACCAAGCCTAGACAGGTGCAGTTTAGATGGCCTGCTTGGATTCGAACCATAGTGATTTAACGCTTTAACCACTGGGCCACCTCGGACGATTGCATCCTGATAGCCGTAAATATGAGTAACTGTAAAGAGGGTAGTAGGTGGACATTCGAAAACGATACAGCCGCCTACCTTCTCGGGAGAGGTTACCTTTGTTCGGTCACCGCAAGCCGTCTCTCCTGACGGGATGACAATTCTGCACGATTATTCACACGCCTCTTGGTGAAAGGTAAGTTAGATTCTGCAACTGTACGGTCTGGACACAGCAAGTCACGCGTAGATCCGTGGTCATTCCTGTCTCCAATATATGAATCCGAAAGATGCGGTTTTTATCTTAAAGTCATCTCGAACTATGGCCTACTCTGTGATTCCTATCCTTATGATAGCGTTCTCCCAATCAACAAGGAATTCATTCCCAACTGTAGCAGTTGTTAAAGTCTGCTAAACTTATACTGATGTACTTATGTACGGCGGTGTACTTGATTGATTCGTTCGTCAGATCGTCCAAACCAGTTGTAATGTGATCGATTGAAAACAGGGACGAGCGAACTTTTGCTTACTTTCTTATGTTCATGTGTGTACCTTTTTTATCGTATGATAAATCACTCGTCAACATTTATTATCCAGCCCGTTCCATGGGTACTCTTCCGAGTTATCTTCATGGTCAAAGTAAGTCCGTCACGTGTTGTCCGTGCACGGCGTCTGCGTATCTTGAGCGGTAAAATACGGGGGTGAAAACTAACTAATCATCCCACTAGTCGCTGCTTGTCTTCGGCAACCCAGCCTGGTCCTTCAGGGTAGCCTTTGATCGCCCTTTGTCCTGGTGTTTTCTAAACCTGGTGCGTCGCTTTATGCCTTGGGTGATTATGAGGGCGAGGTGCGTATTTTTGTCATTCTGCATAACTTGCCTAATTATGCAATCGTGTTCCCCATTGATAAATTATTTTTTTGTGATAAGCTAAGCATAGAATGCCTATTTCGGTGTCCATCAGGGAAATGTTTTTGACACTGGTGATACAAAAAATGGTGCACACTACTTGAACTTCTGTAGTAATAATAACAACCCGGTTTACGTGTCACGCACTGTAATTCTTTTTTTCCCCTAACATGCCAACCGTACAGCTTCCACCAATCCGTTTGCCACTGGACTTCGACCACTCACCAGCGGACCTTCAGCCAATCCGTTTTTGGCCAATCAACCTGTGAAGCCATCTTTGAATCAGATGGCTCCGGCGCTTGCACTAACCGGTCCGAGGGATCCACCTGTTGTTGCTACAGACCCGCGGTTCGGTGTAGTTAGTATGCGGGCACCAGGTCCTATGGCCTTCCCCCAAGCGGTTTCACCTTACTTCATACCTGTCCAATCCGTGGGAGGCGTAAGGGTCAGTAGTAACAACGCCATTAGTCAAAATCCAACCAGCTTGAACCCGTTCTATTGAGCTCTCATTGCCATTATGATTGCTCCTCCGATATCACGATCTCCATTTCTTTTTTTTTTATTTGCATGCAGTATCACTTTCTCATCCTTCGATTTCCGCCCCACCCAACTTCCCAAATGAACATTAAATCAGGTTATCTCCGACACACACACTTCGTTGCATTCTTTTCTCTTCCGCGATCTACCTGTATGAATCAATGTCAGTCCCATTCTCCATATGGAACCCCTGTTGATGGAATTTTGTTCTTCTTGCTCGTGTGGCAAAGTTAAACAGATGACTGTATAGTTTTTGTCACTCCGGAAATCCCACATGGCTGTCCTAGCGATCTGTGGTTCCTCATCAATCTGACCGTATTTTATTTCTATACTGCTCCTTGTGCGCTTCTGTTAAAACACTGACTGATCATCACTACTCTGCATCTTCATCTTTCTCATCACTAATATTATTTGTTTTTACTGGTATCGTTTTGTTCCGTTCCCAGATATGCACTAGCTTCCTGTTTTTCTCCAATTCTCTTGTAGTCCTCATCTTATGTGTACGCGCATGTGCATCTTTTAGCTTCTGCGTATTTTATGCATCGTCCTCTCTAGCTCCCGTTCAAAGCATCGGTTTGCCTGGTCAAATCATGTGACTAGCACAACAAATAACTGGCTACATGACTGGTACCGACGTCCTGACATTCGAACGCACACATTTGGTTGAACACAGCTTACTCGTGCTCTCTGGATGCTCTGCCGCGCTGCTTTCTCTCCTAGCCCGCTGGGCGACCCGATTTACAATGTTGATTTGCTATGGCGATCTATACACTTCAATTTCCGCTCCAGTTCTTCTCTTATTCAGTATGTATGTGGTTGTCCTTCGGGAAAGAATTGTTTCAGAATTCTGGCGACTAAATCGGTTAAACGTGACATCGGTTTGAATTGGTTTATGGCACTGTAGGTCTTAACAATGCCAGAGGTGTTTTTCCCCATCTGCAGAAATCACCGCCGCACCAATTTCAGTTGTTCATTTGAATGAATTCTATCACATCTTGATGATAAAATTTACGGGATCCTGTTTGGTTGAGGCCGACAAAATACATGGAGGGATGAAAAAATTGCCCAGAAAGACTCATTCGCTTTTGCATTTAGTTTCTGTCACGGTGTTCATCTCAATCTGGATGTCAACTGCATGACGAATGGCCCGAGTGGTTAGAGCGCTAATTTACTGACCGGATGGTTCGTGGTTCGAATCCGACCTCTACCTCTCGACTTCCCCTGTCTGGGCTTGGGCAACCTGACAGTATCCCAGCCCTCGTGCTTCCCTTCCTTCGTATGGCAGCTAGACACCGCAAGGGTGCTACAGCTGAACGCTTTCTTTCTCTTTCATACAGTTGGTCGTTTCCAAGCTGTTTTCGTACGTGTGAATAAGGCTCACGACATTCTTGGATGCGTCTTATACGTGCTGTTGTTTTTTATCCCGCTTTTCGAACTGGCTATTGAACCTGATAACTTTGAGATATGCTTTCACTGCAACCAACTAGTGATTAAGAGGCATCAGTAAATGAAAACAGGAATTCTGCAATTAGGACTTCCTGATGTTCTTATTAGCGTGGCATGTATGGTGGTGAAATGCTACTCGGCCAGCGCTGCATGTTTCGTGACTGCTGAATGCTTCACTTTGTCGGCCTGTGGTCGGCGCACTTTATCCACTTAGAGCAAGTCAGTGCAGGTGAATCATTTCAAAGTTTGAGAGCAGGTGCGTCAAATTCAGGTGACAGCAGGAAGAAATGTTATGTAAATGTGGTAGAAATAACCGCTATTTCGTTCTGTCAAGTTCCAGAAATTATTTCTGTGCTCGGTCACCGATGACTCCTTATTATCATAATCGTAATCGACCGATCGCCGTTTGGCTAAGAGTTATCTACACGCACGCCCACCATCCTTGGGAAGCGGGCATACACCTTTTGCAGAACCGCGCAAAGGGAGGTTAAACAGTGAAATGGCAGCGAAGTGCGAAAGCAAGTGCCAGCAAACTCAGCCGCGCTGGTCATTTCCGCCTCCTTGGATGGGAACCCCGAGACGGGACATATCAATGGTTAGCGGCATTACCAAGCATTGCCCAGTTGTACCCTCAATAGCACTCGTGCATCCAAGCTATTGCCCTCAATGCACGGCTCCCTTCTCCATCCCCCCACTGGCGGACCTCTATTTGCGCACCAGTGTACCAGCCACCGCCTCCAATGCGCGGCTGTATATCCCACCTCCCCAAGTCATCGATGGACGAAATTGTAGCAGCTACAACCACCTTACAGGGGGTACGCGGTTTTACAGCTGACAATGGTGGTGATGAATCACGAACTAGACCAGATCGGGGGTACCAGTAGGGCAATTGGTCACTTAACCGACATCATCTCNACCATCCTTGGGAAGCGGGCATACACCTTATGCAGAACCGCGCAAAGGGAGGTTAAACAGTGAAATGGCAGCGAAGTGCGAAAGCAAGTGCCAGCAAACTCAGCCGCGCTGGTCATTTCCGCCTCCTTGGATGGGAACCCCGAGACGGGACATATTAATGGTTAGCGGCATTACCAAGCATTGCCCAGTTGTGCCCTCAATAGCACTCGTGCATCCAAGCTATTGCCCTCAATGCATGGCTCCCTTCTCCATCCCCCCACTGGCGGACCTCTATTTGCGCACCAGTGTACCAGCCACCGCCTCCAATGCGCGGCTGTATATCCCACCTCCCCAAGTCATCGATGGACGAAATTGTAGCAGCTACAACCACCTTACAGGGGGTACGCGGTTTTACAGCTGACAATGGTGGTGATGAATCACGAACTAGACCAGATCGGGGGTACCAGTAGGGCAATTGGTCACTTAACCGACATCATCTCCATCCAGTTGTTCGATCACCATGTGGGCCAAAGGCCTCGCATCTCTGTGCTTTTCGGGATGAACTACATACTTCATGTCAAAACGTCGCTTAGCCTATCCTCATCGAAAATATTGTAAATACCCTGTGGACTGCTAAGAGAGTGCGATACTCATTTGCGTTAGTGGGAAACTCAGCTGAAGCCCAGTTGAGTCTCTCGTTTATGATTTTTTCCAACTGAATGTGCTGCACCAGGATCGTCTTTGCGTTGCTGTTGGGCCTCAAGAAGTGGGAAATCATTACTAGGTTGTTGGAGAGTTTTCAGCTACGTCATGAGCAATGTCACGCCAGGAATCTACACCGAAATATCCTGAATATCACACCCACTGAAACATGACGTAGCACATTCCTTTGAGGGTTGTCGTAAACGAGATTCACCTGCAACTCAGTTGTTTTCCGTTAACGTCAATTTCTTTTGCAAATGAATATACTTCTTCGCTTACAACTAATTTTATGTTCAAGTAGAAGGTTGAAGGTAATCCGGGGGCTGCATCAGTCTTATTAGCTCTGAGGACGGAACCGATCAACAACCTTATGAGTATCATGTTCCACCATGAGGACTACTTTATATATACCTTGGCCTGTCCCGGGTTGAACTCAGTGTGAGTTATTTTCAAGGTTTGCGAGAGTGCGAATCATTCACTGGTCAATTAAGGTCATGATTTGGGCCTTCATTTGAGCCAATCACAAGGAAATTTGGAATTTTCGATGAAGGCTTTGTCCTGTAATTGAAGCCAATCTGTGCTGAAGAGCTGAGTGGCCCTGTACAGCTGTTTCGTCGCATTGTTCGCTGTTTAGCCACTAAACCTCATCCATTTTATATTCCGTTCAACCACACAGTGCGATTGTTCATTGGTTAAGGCACCAACCTGCGGACTGGAAGGTCTGTGGTTTGAAACCAACCTCAGCATCTCGACTTTTCCTGTCTAGGCTTGGGCAACCTGGCAGTATCCCATCCTTTGTGCTTCCTTCCGTTCCATGGCGGCTAGGTACCGAATGGATGCTACAACTGAACGACTTTTTTTACACGGCATGATGTCTGATGTACGTGAGGACGGACTACTCTTTCGAGCTAACTCATATCGCTGTAAATCAGTGATGATTGCATGGGAACTCTCGTTTACTATTTAGTCAGGCTTTTGGTTCAAATACTTTGATCTGAGGACGCCTGCTTCGCAAGCTCTATTGTTAATTTGGTTGTTATTCCAAGGTGAACCGTAATAGCGAAGAGGTAACTACCCGACGGGAGTTTGTTGAACTTTTCTAGGGGTGTATACGGGCGCTCGCCCCTCTGTCGCCCCTTCCCGCGCCACCCACGCCCCNCCTCCCAATACTAAACGTAAACTGAAGCTGTTACTACTCTTCTGACCTAAGTACACCTTAACAGGGGCATTGATTATGTATACAAGATTCTAACGTAAAGCAGCGCAGTGAAGCCACTGCTTGGATCAATAGCATTGTGCTCAAGGACTTGTTAGAATGTAATTTTTCAAAAACTACACATTGAGAGTAAGAGCCACTAAACGGTCTCCCACTAGTGTTTTGCCCCGCATCACCCTCTTAGAAAATGTTGCCCGCGCACTTGTTTGTTGAATTGAACTCCCTCAAGTTTGACAGCTTTTGGTCTGACCAACGGTGCGTCTTCTACTCAGCACATGGGTAGATGAAAAGGTCTGTTTGAATCATATGGTTTTGATTTGCGAAGTACTTCACCTAGCTGCAGCAGATAATGGAATGGGTGGAGTCATCTTACCGCGAGCCATTGCTTCTCCACATTACTGGTAGCACATCTTAGACATTTTTGTTCGTTTCCGTCTGTCGACTCTTCCAACCCATCTGGTGACCGTGGGCTCAGTACGCAAGCCGCTTTCACGTTGGTGTCATAGGTGATGGAATTTAGTACACCTAGTCCGAGACGATCGGCTATCACGTCATAATAACAA